GCCTTGATACCCACGGTAGTCAGGTCTTCCCCTGAGCACTCAGCAAGCTCTGGAACATTCTAGAACATTAGATCAGGAACTCTCATCTACCACACCCCCTGCCTCCCTCGCTCTGTGTTTAAAACAGTTTGTTCTGTCTTCAGCAGAGCAGTGAGCCCGGGGAGAGAACTGCTTTCGCTTCAGAACCAAAGTGGGTGTCTGAAATCTGTTCCTCTCCCCCCGCTGCACACTGCCGAGGAAGCCGGTGCCAGAGGTGGTCAGAGACGGATCTGTAGAATCCGAAAAGGACAGGCTGAGTGATGGCAGGAGGTGGTAGGAGCAGGAGAGACAGCCTCTGCCGTTCAGGTAGGCAGCGGGAAGAACGTTCAGGGCCTTGAAAAAGAGGGCAGCATTTGGCATATCAGATGCCAGGCCCTGGGACTGTGGCCAAATTCCTCCATCACCTCCTGCCAATCCATAAAAATACCTTTGAAAAATCCAGAGCTGAACGTGAGCCTCTTCAGTGTCTCGCTGTGCAGTTCTATCTGGCAAATAACTTCTCGCTTACATTCCTCCAAAAGGTATAGGGTGCCTTTGGTCCATAATGCGTTCCGGAGTTTCAGATGCCAGTGGAAACCATAGTGGTGTAGGGTAACTGTGGGAGGTCTATGAAGGACATGAGTGATGGTTTCTCTCCAAAGCATGATTCATCACCGTGAGGAAAGACAGTTCCTTCTCTTCATGCAGCCTCCTTGGGCTCAGAATGAGTGGGCTGGTTTGCGGAGGGGAGGGGCAATGTGAAACCAGCATGTCAGTAGATCCGGACACACCAGTTTCTGAAATAGGATCAGGTCCCCTTAGGTCTCTGGCACAGTCCATGTTGTCTGGAGGAATGAGGACGATGGAGAGGAGTCCCCAGCCTATTGGGGGCAGCCATAGATGAGTCTGTCAGCCTGCCAGTTCAGCCCTTTTTCATTCTTCATGGCAGCCCCCAGCCCCACCCTGGGATGGTGCTTATTATACCCACTTTATAGGCAGAGAAACTCGGATGCAGAGAGTTTCAGAATCTACCCACGGTCACACGGTTGATTAACGCAGAGCTGAGACTTGAATTCAAGTCCAGCAAACCCGGGGGCCCATACTATTTCAGCTATAGAGTTTGACTGTTGTGCATAAAGGGGTAGGCTGGAGGGTCTGTACTTAATGTGATGAAGGGTCTAGGGGAGCCATTGATGACCATAGAGGAGACAAGTGGCACGATTAAAGCAGCGTTTAGGAATTTCAATCAGGCAGTCATGAATGCGGTGAATTGTTGGGATGTCCAAGTCCAGAGTGGGAAGTGGGTAGCATAAGCCCCTGATGTGAAATACCAAGAGTCTTGACCCACGGGGAGAATAACAGTGACATCTATTTGTTGAGCACTTGACATGTGATGGCTATTGCGCTGGAAGCTTTTATACAAGGAGGTCATTTAATCCTTGCAGCTCAATGGGGAAGTGCTGTTGTCACCAACAGTGTGGTGCAGGGGTGAAAAGCTTGCACCCAAAGCAGGCAAGCCCGATTCAGTGCCTGTATGACCCTGCAGGACTCCCTCTACTTCTGAGTCTTTCTTCGTTTGTATGATGGGCACAATACCATTACCAGTTTAGGAAGGTGGTTGGGGCTAGGATTAAATGAGATACTGCATTGAAAGTGTTGAGCCACGTGACTCTCATAGGCTAAGTCCTTCTGGCACGTTAAGTGGTATAATTATTGGCATTACCACACCCATTATACAGATGTGGAAACTGAGGCTTGGAAAGGTGAAGTGATTTTTCCCAAGGTTACAATTAGAATTGGTGCCTGGACAGCGTGACCCCGGAAGTTAGACTGTTTTCCGTCCTGGGGTGAAGACGTTAATGGGGATCAGAAGAGGGTAACAGGAGAGATTCAGCTTGGACTAAAGCACCACAGGACCAGGGACTGGGGACGCCACAGGCAAAGGAACCCGCACGTATTTTTACACAGACGGCTATGCCAGGCGAGCTCCCGGCTAATGGACTGCTGTCCCATAATCTCTCTCTTTCATGAAGTTCACAAGGCAGCCATACCCTCCTCTCTACATGGAGAGCCAGATGAGGCTGCATTTGCTCACAGCACATGGAGCAGGGGTGCTGGTGCAACCCCAACACCACCAGCACCCCCCTAGCAGGTTCGATCTCCACCTCTCCACCAGTACTGGTTATCCCTAGGAAGTGTGTGTGTACATACGGATCGTCTCAGAGATCCTTTTTACTGGGTTTCAGCCATGCTCTTAGCATATGCCCTCCTGAGATCTTTCTCCATTCCTCGTGTGCTCACAGGAAGGTGCTGATCTCACTGCCTTGTGCAGTCATAGTGTAACCCTGCTGACCAGCGTCCTTGGAACATCTTGGTTCCATGGGAATTATTACATACCCTTTGTAATTAAGTTTGGGACTTCCCAGTCCCCTCCCAGGAAACACTTGGCAGTGCTAAGTTTGGTGGCTATAACTGCCTTGGGACTTCACTTGTGTGTCTTCTTTTGGTTCTTTATGTTGTCGCTGTCTTTGATATTTAATGAGGTTCCCCGGACAGCTGTTGAGCCTTGTAGGTCTTCTCGATTCCTCTTCTGATCAATGAAGGTCACCCTCCACTAATTTCAGACATTGGATGGAGGAGTAGTAGGTTGGTGGTGTTGAAAGATTTTAATTTCTGGGCGTGACATTGAAGAGTAAAAAAATGCAAAAGCTCCGTCGTGGACTTCTCCCGTCTGGCATTATGTTTAAACCAAGGACATTCCTCTTAGACTCCATTCACACCGTCATCTACTCATGCATTCCTTCATCCTCCATTTACTGATGGGTCGTGTGCCAAGTCTTCCACTGGGTGCTGGGGGACAGAGAGATGAGGACACAGCAGAATCTCTGCCCTTGAGCCATTCAGTCTTGTCGAAGCACGATTTAAGACGTTTAATCAATCCACGAACATTGGATTTCTCCAAAAGCTACTGTAGGGAAAAAGATAATTATCCAAAGTCTTTAAATCTGTTACCCACTTTAATTGATTTAATGAGGTAAAATTCATAAAACTGTATTGTTAGAAGGAGCCCAGAGGCATTTATTCCTGTGTTTTTTCTCTCTGCCTTCAGGCCACATTGCACTTGAATTATCCCCCAAACTCATGCATTTTAGAAAAGGGAAGTATTTCGAAGAACTATGTAGCTTTTGGCCCGTTCAGATAAAACTTTCTATTCTGTGGGCACCCAGGGGGAAAACTCTGCAGACTTCTTAAAGGAGTACCATGCACAGCTACAAGGTATTGTTTGAAAAGACGAACGGAATCATCCACTCTTAATACACTCACACATGCACACACACACACACACACACACGCGCGCGCACTGGAACCCCTGTATTCATAGTTTTGAGGTTAATGCGTATGGTAACTACAGAATGGAAAATGAAAACATGGCTGCAGTATAATAAGGACCCCTTGAGAATCCTTTTAGTTCCCTGGGGTGGGGGAGGGGGAGGAATCTATCTCAGCACTTGTCAAATTGTGTTTTGCTGTAACACACAGGCATACCTTCTGTTTAGCTGGCATCTTTGTGCCAGGCCAGCCAGTCAACAGCATGGTTTCGGCATCTGCTATCTGTAGATCTTCAATGATCCCAAGAAAGTCGTGGCTGTGTTTTGGAAAGGGGGCTGGCCGTGGAACCAGAACCTGAGTTCATTTTGAGCCTCATTTTCCCCTGCCAATAACACCACCTTCGTAGGATCTCGTGGGGGATTTAACGAGTTAAGAGGCATGAAGGTGGTTTGTAAATGACACAACCGTAGGCATCGCCTACCTTTTCTAAAGGGAAGTATGTTCTCATGATCAGATCATGACATGGGGAGATGCCAGGACTATTAAGGGGCCCTTTAACCCAACACAAATGGCCATGTCACTTTCCAGAGTAAGAGCATCCAGCAGCTCCCTCTTATGCTTGAATAAGGTCTCAGCCTCTGAACATATCCCTGAAGCCACACATGATGGGATTTCTGCCAAGCCTTTTCACCATCATCTCATCTCCCTCCTACGTCATGAGCCATAATGATTTATCTCCAGCTCTTAGAATAGCCAAGGTGTATCTGCAGGTCTCCGCTGACTCTAATGCCCACTCATTTCCCCTCTTCTTCACCCCTATACTCCTTCGGCATCTCCTTGTGCCTCTCTCAGCCTCTAGTCCCTGGAAATTGTTCTTCCTCAAATTCCCGCCACATGTACAAAGGCAGAGACCCTGTCTTTGTCTGTCTTATATATCATGGTTTCCCCAAGTTCTAAAATGGTGTTGCTGCATAGTTAGGTAAGTGTTCAACAGATACTTGCTGATTCACGTAGACATCCAGATAGATGTCCACCTAGCATTTATTATACTTTATATTACATAGGAGTCTAGAGTCCACATGACAGAAATCCTACTCAAAGTGGCTCAGGTGAACTTGGGGACTTGTTGGTTCACACAGCCAACAGGTCTAGAGTGAAAGTCTTTAGGCATAGCAGACTCCAGGTGCTCCAAGTATGTCATCAGGACTGTGTCTCTGTGTCCTGATATTGTCTCCCCTGAATTCATTTTCCAGTCCAGAGCCTGGGGCCAGATAGAGTTCATTGTGTTGAAGCCACATGGGCCCAAAGGTGGGGGTGGGGGGCAGGTTGTGGAATGAACTAGAGGAAAATGAGCTGGAACAAATAACAGATGTCCTTCAGGCACCAGAATGTGGGCTCCCAAGTTCAGGGTCTCTCTCCTCAGTGTATTCCCGGCATCTGTTCCCAAGTGTGGCATATAGTAGGTGCTCAAGAATGTTTGGGGATGAATACGTGTGTGATATGTTTTCCCTCCCTTCTAAGAAGGCATTTTTAAAGCCTATAAAGACAGATGGTTATATATAAACCACCTTCTGCCTCATCCTCTGTTTTGCTTTTTCTTTTTCTTTCTTTTTCTTTCTTTCTTTCTTTTTTTTTTTTTAACCTGTTGGCAGGATCCGACGTCAACCTTCTTCCAATTTGGAGCGTCCATCCAGCAACAAGCCACGGTCATGCTGAAGATCATGCAGGATTACGACTGGCATGTCTTCTCCTTGGTGACCACCATCTTCCCTGGCTACAGGGACTTTATCAGCTTCATCAAGACCACAGTGGACAACAGCTTTGTGGGCTGGGACATGCAGAACGTGATCACCCTGGACACTTCCTTCGAGGACGCAAAGACGCAAGTCCAGTTGAAGAAGATCCACTCTTCCGTCATCCTGCTCTACTGTTCCAAAGATGAGGCCGTCCTCATCCTGAGTGAGGCCCGCTCCCTGGGCCTCACTGGATATGATTTCTTCTGGATTGTCCCCAGCTTGGTTTCTGGGAACACGGAGCTCATCCCCAAAGAGTTTCCATCAGGACTCATTTCAGTCTCCTACGACGACTGGGACTACAGCCTGGAGGCGCGAGTGAGGGACGGCCTGGGCATCCTAACCACTGCCGCGTATTCCATGTTGGAGAAGTTCTCCTATATCCCTGAGGCCAAGGCCAGCTGCTACGGGCAGACAGAGAAGCCGGAGGCCCCACCACACACCCTGCACCAGTAAGAGGGCCGTCTTTGCTTGTGTCCCAGAATGGGACCAGTGTTTTGTTGTTTGTTTGCTTCTTTGGTTGTTGAAATACTCAGAGCAACACATACGTACTTGCTGCTGGAAATGTGCGCTGACGGTAGGGAGTGTTGTGCGTGCGCTTACGGGACTTGCTTTGTACCATTGATCTTAGTCTCTCCTCCCCTCACCCCCCGGCTCATCTTTGGTTTTTAAGTTCCATCATGCTTCATTCTCTGCAACCTTCTGTTTTTACTCAATGATACACCTTGGAAACCTACATACGAGACCTGTCTCCGTATCTATCTACGTATCTCTCGATCTATCCATTTTCTATCTATAACCGTATCTCCAGCGTGCATGTGTGTGTACATATGCATATATTTTTATATATAGATATATACACATATATGAATATATGTACAAAGATGTATATATATACACACATACATATGTATGAATGTATGCAGATACATCTGTGGGTGTCGGTATACATACGTATGGGTGTGTGTGTGTATTCTTTCAAACCTGTGCACATTACCTCTCTCCATAGAGATATACCATGGTTTGTTTATCCAGTCTCCATAATGATAGAAATTCAGGTTGTTTCTGATTTTTCTTTTTCCATCACAAACTAAACCACAGGGATCACCCTCCCACATGTCTCTGTGCACATGTGTCAGGGTTTCTCCAGGGCGGATCCTCAGAAGTAGAACTCTGGGGTCACAGAGCACACACATTTAAAAATTGAAGTGTCTGTTGCCAATTTGTCCCACAAAGTAACTCTACCAATTTATATCCACGCAAGCAGTTTGTGAAGTCACCAGGCTTCCCACGTCCCCACCAACATGTCACAGTTTGGGAAAACTGCCCACGCTGGGTGTTCCATCCTCAGTTTGAGTCTGTGTCTGAATTTCTTCCCTTCTTGTGTCCTATTTTTGTAGGTCATTGGAAATCTTGGCAGATACTGCTTTTGAAGCCTCATTGTATTCCATCACATGGACGTATCCTAATGTATTCAACCACTCGCATCTTGGTGGACGTTTAAGTTCGGTGTTTCTCAGGAGTGTCATTGTTCCTTGTGACCCATCATTATGGCTTGGCTGTTGACATTTAGAATGATCACCCCTGCACCCATTTTGCATGCTTTTGCCTGACGTCTGGTGATTTAATCCACGCTCCTTCTGTACGTAATGCGTGGTATAGTTCTGTGGTTAAGGGCCTGGACTCCAGGCCTCGATTTATCAGGGTTCAAATCTTGTCTGGCTCACTTTCTGTTTGCCTCGGATAACCATTTTACCTTTCTGCGCCTCAGTTGTTCATTGCCAAGTGGTGATGATAGCATTGCTTCCTAGGGGGTGCTCGTCAAATTTGAGTGTGCATCCCAATCACCAGGAGGGCTTGTTAAACCACAGATTTCGGGGCTCCACACTCAGTCTGTAATTCAGTAGCTCCGGGGGCCACGGGAGACGCGGGGACAGAATTTGCAATTGTAGCAGGTTCCTCGGTGCTGCTGATATTGCTGGTCTGGGGACCATGCACTGAGAACCAATGTTCCATGGATTGTCCTGAGTATGAAATGAGGCGATGCGTGAAAAGTACTGCTTAGCGCCGTGCCTGGCCCCCAGTGATTATTGACTACCTGTCAGAATGACCAGTGACGTTGTTTTTGGTCATTAGAAATGACAGTAGGCAGACTAGGTAGGTTTATTACCAGCAGAGTAACACGTCACTCCAAAGTGACTCTGGGAGTTTTTAGGACCTTGAATCTGCTACAGTGCAGGGATTATCTCTGAGTCCAGAGGTGTGCACATGTGGAAAGATTATACATCTTTAAAATTGGTATACACAGGGGCGCCTGGGTGGCTCAGTCGGTTAAGCATCCGACTTCGGTTCAGGGCATGATCTCACAGTCTGTGAGTTCGAGCCCCACGTTGGGCTCTGTGCTGACAGCTCAGAGCCTGGAGCCTGCTTCAGACTCTGTGTCTCCCTCTCTCTGCCCCTCCCCTGCTCATGCTCTGTCTCTCTCTGTCTCAAAAAAATAAAAACATTAAAAAAAAGTAAAATTGGTATACACATGGAAAATAAACTCTTGAATTAAGAAATTGTGGTCCTTCAGAATTTCCCCTTCCCCTCGGATTCTCTCTTTAGCCATCCTGTTTCTCCATTACCGCTTTGAGCGTTTTGAAGAATTGCCTAAAGATCAGGAGGGAACTCCGGGAAATGACTATGAGGCCTGGAAGCCTCTTACAGAGGCAGGATTTCTGCCAGCGCAAACACGAGGGCTGGGCTAATGAGTACTCACTTCCCATCAAAAATGCCCTGCAGCTGGAATATTCAGAAATGTATAATTTTGATGAAAACATAACTCAATTTTAGGGCAATTGAAATATAATGTATACAGGAAAAGGAATTGGAGAAGGATAATTGTCAAGACATACAGAGCTCCTTCGAGTGACCATCCTGAATTCTGTTCCTAAAAAAAAAAAAAAAAACAAAACCCCACTGCTGTGAAATGCTGTCATGCTGTTTCTAGGAGTTATGTTTTGAATGCAGCGATTTTTGTAGATGGTGCTTCAGCCCCAGAGTAGTAATGGATCAAGTGTGGTAAGCCGTCATCCACTGCCTGGTGTTTAATGAAGCCTCTCTCCTTCCGTGGACCGCTGGCGATGCTCGCCCTGTGTGCGAGGCTGGAATGTGGTGCAAGCGGTGGCTTCTTACTATACTTGCCCACTGTCACGGTGTTTCTTAAACTCATCCAGGCCAGAGGAGCAGTTTGCCAGGCAAGGGAAGGGCTGGGAGCTGGAGAAAGCCCCCAAATGGCAGTTTTTCAGAAACGCATTAAGGACACCATTCTCTTCTCCTCTATCAGTCATTCCTTCCTTCCAGTGGAACCCATGCTAGCCCCCAAAATACACACAGGAATGAACACATAACTTCTGTCCTCAAAGAACGTACAGTGTGCTGAAGAAGGAGGTTTGCATTGCGACAGACTCAGGTAACAAGGGCTTTTTTAAAAATATGAGGGAAGAACAAAAAGCTAGTACAGAGTCTGATGAAACACCCACCCCAATATGTCACGTTGGTTTCAAATTTTTAAAAGAAATACGCATTACCGACCACGTAGCAGTCCTGATATACCTCTCCCGAGTCCCACTTTCTTTCTTTTCTCTCCCTGGGAGGGAAAAACACTGCCATGAACTTGGTGGGAATCCAGATCTGTGTGCATGTTTTTACTTTTAGTACAGACGTCTCTGCAACCTCAGACCCAAGGCACAGTTCTTTCTAATGCACACGAGTGGTGTTTGATACATTCCAATTTCCTTTACGTCAACCTTGTGGTTCAAGATCCATCTATGAGGACCCGTGTCCTTCTAGCACATTCATCTTAGGTGCTGTCTTGCGTTCTGTTGTGCATGTAACTATTGCATTGTTTGTTTAACCATCCCCCTCGGATGGACATTTAGGTTGGTAACGTAAGGGATCCTCAGTGTCTGTAGTCGAGTTGGAATCCCAGGACTCTCCAGTTCAGGGTTCCACAGAGCATCCAGTCACCAAGTAGGTGTCATTACTCCCACCACGTAGTCAGGAGGATGCAAATACCTTGGAAGAAGTTCGGATAAACTCACATGGATGGCTGTCGTGCTACATTGATGTGGGGATCTGGGGTCCCTCTTTGACTGGTTGAGTGTGCCATCTTGGAACCAGTTACACATGTCCCTGTGTGGTCTTCAGGGACGTGACTTGTAATCTCCTACCCAGAGCTTGTGTCATTAGGGCACTGTAACCATGACTTCTTATGACGTGCGACCTGGTAGAAAAGACTGCTTGCTCAGGATGACGTGTTAATGATCTTGCCGTGGACCTGTTTCTGTCCCTGGGATTTCAGGAGGAAAAAAAGGTGGGGGAAAGGGGAAAATGTTCTTTATGTTTAATATTCCTGGTTTTACAGAAGGCACTTTGAAAAGAGCAGTCAGCATTTTATAAAGTTCAAAAATAGCTCAGCCATGTTATGTAACCTCCTCCTTGCTACTGCAAAGTTATTAAACATCTGTCCCTTCACCAAGCACAGAGCACGTCACTGGTAATTCCTGGAGCTGTGAAGGTAGAACATTACCTGTTCTGCTGGTGTGGAACCGAGGCTGTTCGGTCCAGTCCTGTCCCAAGAGTCCGTCCAGGCCTCTGGTGGATAGGGCCCTCTGGGAGGCAATGTGGCCTCAGGGTGAAAAGTCTGGCACCAAAGCCTGGGGTTGAATCCCAGATTAGAACTCTTCTAGATCAAAGGCTTTGGACAAGTCTCTTAATTCCTCCACGGCTGCCTCCTGAGACATAACATGGGGACAAGAGAAGTATTTGCCTCTTAGCCCGGAGCCTGACATATGGACTGCAATCTATACGTCGTTACTATTATAATATAACTTGTAGATACAGAACAGGTAGTGGAACAGATGGGTCTGTATGCCACAGTCCACAGGATTGCCACTGATTCATTCCCCACGGGGCATTTAGTCCCTCTGTATGCTAGACACCAATTATCCCTGGATGGCGAGACAGAGAAAGCCCCCATATAAATATTGGGTCAGGCAGTGTTCAGTGTTGCCATTTGTGACTTGTCTTTGAGGCCTAAGGGGCAGTGCAATATCTCATAGCAGAGGCTCGTCTCACTAGGTTGGAGGTATAGGAGGAAAGGGATGTCCTTCTGGGGAATCATGACACCTAAGGAGAAGTGGATTGGGGTTGAGATGGCTCAGTGTTTGCTGACATTTCCCAAACATATTTCTGGTAGCTTTGTTTTTTTTTTTTTAATTTTTTTAATGTTTATTTTACTTTTGGTGGAGGGAAGGGGCAGAGTGAGAGAGGGGAACACAGAATCCAAAGCAGGCTCCAGGCTCTGAACTGTTACAACAGAGCCCAATGCGGGGCTTGAACTCAGGAACCGTGAGATCATGACCTGAGCCAAAGTCGGACGCTTAACTGACTGAGCCACCCAGGCACC